GCATTTCCTTGTCTTGTCTTCGCTGAGATTGTAACACTTGGAGCCCGCACTGAAGATGTGCTGCGCCTTCCTTGTCCTGGGAGCATTTTGAGACATTCAGCGAAAGGGATTGTGTGAGCGCCCCTTATCCATTTCCTTGCATTTCAATGGCTTTGTTCCATTCAAATTGCGTCCTTCAGAGCTTACCCTTATGGGAAAAGATATCGGCCTTATGGAAAACAGTAGGTTTGTGCACGATAAGGACGAGCGAATGGTATTTTCCTCCGAAGCTGGAGTAGATTGTGTGCCCTTTCGTCAGATGGAAGCTTAGCTTGGGGAGCAGAACGGGACTCAAGTGGGAACCAAGGCTCTCACTGAGCTACCTACCCAGCAAAAGCTGGGGGGCAGTCGGGGGAGGCCAGAAAGCAGTCTCTCAAACGGGTCTGGGTGAAATTCCAGGGAAGTGTCAGATTGATTGAAGTTCCGATTAGAGGAGACACTACAGTGGGAATCTAAAAATTGATAGCTGTAATAGAGATCAAAGAAGGGTCAGGTATATTTGTTGGATAGATAGAGTTGAAAATCAGGATTTTGATGGTGACAGACCCAGAGATTGAGCAGGTAAAGACTTCATTTTAGGCATTACACAGTAAATGCCCCAAATTCAAGTCAAACAACCCGGGTGTGTGTGGAATACAAAAAAGGAAGTCGAAATGTAGTTACCTTTGTAGGTCCCAGGGCCATACCTAGAGGGCGCGTGGGCTTGTGGGTGTTTTTGACTGACGAAGAAACACTGTGGGAATGATGGAGGCTACAAGTGGATCTTCGGGAGTGGAACCAGACTGCTGGTCAGGCCTGGTGAGTGGGATATCAGAGGGGTGATGAGAGCATTGAGGGAAAATGCCACTGTAGCGACAGGAAGGACTGTGTGATAAGGGTAAGCTGACGCTTGGGAAGGTGGGGCGGTGGATCTACTACCCAAGGTTCCGACAGCTATGCTAGCAAAAGAATCAGCCCCCGTCCAGCTGCAATCCCATGCTACAAAAGCAAAAGAGGATTCTTCTCTCCTAGATCTTCCTAAGATGTATCTGCTCCACGCTAACATGTCTTTGTTCCCCAAAGTTGTATACCATTGTTAGCAGAGATGGGCCAAGCTGCTTGCCTCCGACCCCCTGTCCCTCATTGGTAAAATCAGGGCATAATATCTAGCTTGAGGCACAGTTGTGTTCTGATAGCGGTAATGTAACCTACGTGAGGTCTTAGCCCATTTGTCCTGTAATAGGCTTTCCATAAATGATGGTTTTCATTCTCCTTCCCTGAGTAGATGTCACAGTTGAAAACCCCAACCCTGCAGGCCATTTTTATATAGGGATTTACCGTAGTGTGAATGCAGGATACAGCAAGCTCACTTTTGGAAAAGGGACTGTGCTTCTAGTCTCTCCAGGTAAATGTCCCCAATCCACCTCCACCCCTCTTCTCCCCAGAAGTTTCAGGCTTCTGCATATGCTCACTGCACTTACCCCACGGACGGCATCAACCGTGTTTCATCAGTGGGCCGTCCATGAATTTAACGTTGAGCCTCCATGTGGGACTTTGATCAATGGAAATAGCTGGCAGGAAAGTGGTAACTAACAGTCGAACTGATGCACTAGAACAGAATGCAGCAGAGACCACCAACAGCCTAGACCATGATGACAGACAAACCTGGTTTGTCCAGACATAGCCTGTCTTCCCGGGTCACTCCTATACTAAAAATCCCTAGACGTGCTTCACCTTCCTGTCTCCCTTTCTATCCTTGTATATGAACTTAGCTATGGAATCATGGGCGTGTGCAACACACTCAGCTATAGAAACCTGTCACTACTGAGAGTATCTGCTTATTAAAATGGAAAAGCCCCAAGAACACACTTCTTCTATCACTTGAAGTATTCAAAAAAATCCCTTTTAGAAAGGAAGTACTTGATAGCTGTTTGTTTCACTCAAAGTAAACACCCTAAAAGTCAAGTCGCCAGGCCAAAGAGACTATGTCCACGGCAAGTGGTGGAGAGAAAAACGCACAACACAGAGAATCAAATAGACCCAGATTTTGGTCCTAATGGCATGACCAGCTAGCAGTAGAACTTAGAACAGGTATCTTGCCTTCTGACCTCAGTTCCTCATCTGTGAATTGGGAAGTGGGCCTAGACAATCTCTCTGGGCCTCCAGCACTGAGGTGGTGAGCTCTTTTCTCATCTGGAGAAGTCAGCTACCTGTCTTAAATCCTGAATCTTTTCTAACGCATTAGGGTAGACTTGGGGAAAAGGATGAAGTGGCCGAAGGGGGTTTACTGTGAGGCATCAAACACTGTGGGGCTCGGGGGAGGAAGCGACAGGCTCACCTTTGGAAGGGGGACACAGCTGAAAGTGGAGCTGAGTAAGTATAAAATTCCAGGGCAATGGCAAAATGTATTCTGGAAACAGGGAACAGTGGGAAAGGAAGTGCTATTTCTGTGATCTGCATCGTATTTAGAATTAACTGTAATCTAGTGCTGAGGTAGTAAATATTGTGGCACTCAGATAAATCAGTGAAAGTACTCAAAGTTGAAACAAATGCATTTTCTTGGGGGATGGGATTTAGCAAACCGTTCAGACTTTTCCCCGGTGGGCGGTTGACGGCAGCTCTCTACAACCAGGGAGCTCTTCACACTAGAATGGAACTAACTGGAGACCCATCGGGCAGGGGGGAGCCTGGGGGGGAGCAACTGGAAGCCAGTCCCATGGCCATGGTCCTTTCTACTTCCGCTGCCAGTGAGTCAGAGGAGCACAGTGGGGGGAAGATCATGTAGGCCACTGGATCCAGGCCCCAAATAAGCCGCATCCATTCCATTCCAGAGACTGAGGGTCCTTTCACTCTAAGTGTTGTCCAGAAAGAATCTATGGAGTACAGAGGGGGAGGAAGCTCAGGGACTCCGGTTTTAGTTGGAATACTCACTTTATCTGGCCCCCGCTGTCTGTCATGTTTTTAATAGTCATTTATCCTTTATGTGCCTCAGTGTTGGATGAGGTAAGCTCTCCAAACAGCGTTAGATGAGAGAAGCTCTCAAAGCCTATGGTTCGAGGCTCTTCGTTCCATGCCACTCTCAGCTGTATCTGACTCAAGCGTTTTGGACACTTGAGAGTACTTCTTTGAAAAATCCTACCATCTTAAAGAAATAACCTACTTAATCAATAATCTAACTCAAAATATAAGTATTAACCACCAACTGAGTGCCTGCACTATGTCAGTACCATGCGAGGTGCATGACAGGGAGTGTTGCTTATCTTCAAACAATTCTATGAGGTCAAGGACAGCACCCCACTTTACAAATGAGGAAACTGAGGCTCGGATCCGCAATTGCCCACGATCCCTGGGTTAGCATGCGGAAAGGCCTGGGTGCAAACCCACGTCTGATCCCAAAGCCACGCTCCTCCTACTGCTCGATGTGACAGCGCGTGGTCCTGCCCTGGGCTTGCGCAGGAGCCCAGTTAAAACAGCCCGGGTGCTAACCAAAAGGGCAGTGGTTTGAACCCACCTGCCACTCTGAAGGAGGAAGATATGCGAGTCCTCCTGGGAAACTCTGTAGGCGCTTCTGCGGTGCCCTCCCTGCTCCCTGTGAGTTGGAATCGCCTGCTCTCAGGGAGCTGGGTCTTGTGGCTGGGCTGACGCAGAGACAAAGTCGATCACAGGGAGTAGGGAAACGCATGGAATTTTTCTTCCATATTCTTAGATGTTGTCATGGGCTACGGATGGAGCTCCATGTACTTTCGACTTGGAGACGCCATAATAATTCATCGGAAGGTGTCTCTGGCCTAATCAAATAAAGAAACAAAAGGCATGGAGGCTGCTGCAGGCGTTTGCCCCAGCTGAGAGAGGTGAGCAAGGAGCGGGCAGCAGCCACTCCCTTGTTGGCACACTCGTTTTCTCTCGCTATGGATAACCGATCTGCAAGTGCCTAGCTTGATGGTGAGCTATAGAAAAATGCCCCTGGGAAGGGTACTTCGGGCATTGCCAGGTCATAGAACGTTAGAGCTGAAAGGAAGCCGAGAACGTATTTAGTTCAGACCTCTTTCTATTTCTGAAAAGGAACTTAAAGCCCAGAGAGATGGGTGCGTTTTCCCAAACCATAGTCAATGTGAACTGGAGCGGGAACAGGAACCGGGCATCTGTTCTCCAGGACTGACTCTGGGATTTCTGGCTGGGGAGTTTGCCTGCTGATAGGTCAACGGGAGACGTTCCCGAGCAGGGGAGATAACAAACACGTGTGACCAGGCGGTTCTGTTAAAGTGTTGCTATGACCAGCACGGTCCTAGTGGGCCCTGGACCTGCTCTCCAGCTGTGGCCGAAGAATGGACAGAGAGGGACATCAAGCATTTTGTTATAGTACAAATCACTGTGGGAAACACGGGAGGCGGCCGATTGGTCTTTGGGACAGGAACACAGCTGTTTCTGGAAGCAAGTAAGTTCCATGGAATCGCCTGATTTGTCCCCTGGTTTGATAAATGTCTGTTTTCATTGGCTTGGCTTTTGTATTTGGAGGGTTTTGTTTTTGTGATTTGCCTGGCGTGGGCCACTGTCTAAATAAGATAAGTGGGCAATGATAGGGCTGCTTTCTATAGCATGGATGACTGTCATGCATGCAAGAAAACAGGATCAGCAGTCACATGTGTGGATGGATAAAACTCCACTCAGTCCTGTGTGCAGTTGAAAACCTGTGATGCCATGAAGGGCTCTTTGCCAGCCTGAATGTGAGCAGCATACGGGAGGTAACCCACTGCACCCACAGTGGGCATCGTGCTGGGTGTCATACGCTTTGGCATCTTGCCTTAGGAAAATAAAGGTTAAATAGCTAAATGGTCAGCCCATCCCAATTTGGTACCCATATACATGCTTGCGTGCACACGTGCGTCCCGTAACTGACTTGTGTGTGACTTAGGGATCCTAGGCTCTGTTGATACAAGACACGGCACCATTTTGTCTAGAGCTGTGTCAGAGTGGGAATACAGGCTTCCAGAAGCTCATATTTGGAACTGGCACCCGACTTTTGGTCATCCCCAGTAAGTCTGATCTCCAGAAATGTGTAGCCCTACTCCAATATTGAGTTTATATTCATCTACGTAGAATTTAGGCTAGTCCCTAACAGAATAGCATTACCATTATTACTACTTGTTATGATGTATCATAGACCTGCTGCTAACTTGGGATATACTTTTTTGTCAGGTTATTTTTTGCCTTTAAAGGGCAAAATCAGTGTTGGGATGTAAACAAAATGCTAATTTCTTTCGGAGTCGAATTTCTTCTTTGTTCCTGCCGTCCTGACCTCTCTGCGGAGGGCCAGTATGAGCCTCAGTGTGTGGGGTGTTAAACTGCCTCCTTATTAGCTCGCTTAGAAATGCTTCCTTGGTTTTTCTCTGCCTAAGCACTTTGATTTTCAGCTCACATTTACCCAAAGTATACTTAGCTTTTAACCTCTCTCAAAACTGGCCTCTTTGCCCCAATAATTGCATCTAGTAACAGTCAGTTGAATTCGGTAAATGATTATTAAGTATCATCCACAAGCCAGGACCCATAGTTGGTTTTAGAAGAGAGGGAGAGGGAAGAGATGAGGGAGAGAGGACTTGGGGAAGCCTAAGTTATGGCCCACAATCACAAAGACCTCCCAGACTTATCAGAGAAAATAAAACACTCCTATACTAAAAGTCTAATAAAGAAATTTTGTTATGAGGATGTGGCACGATTCCATCAGGCATTTCTGGGAAAGGATTAGAATCTGTTATCTGCGAAGATGTTTGGGTTTCTTAGGAAGAAAAAGCCCCCGTGCAGGGAGCAGCCTGGAGGGAGGACAGGGTAGGAGCAGGAAGGAGTCAGGCATGAGTCACTCAGACTCCTGTTCCGCCTGAGAAAACACAGCAACGGAGTCACACCAACGCACATGGTCAGTCTGTGTGGCCGCCCGGGACACGGAAGGTGCTCTTGCTTCTACTCTTTCTGGCTAAGGGAGAAGTACGTTTTGGCAAAGGTCGCCAAGAAAACAGTGCCTCCTTCTCAGCCGTGACAGATAAGGTGGGGAGACGTGGGTCTCCTCCCTGGTAGCTTTGGAAAATTGTACACCCACTTGGCCTTTTGTAGACAGGAGAAAGATGATGCTACTGTTTCAGAGACCCACAGGGGCAGGTCTGCCTTGTCCTATAGGGTCGCTCTGAGTCAGAATTGACTCGATGGCAGTGAGTTTGATTTGATTTGATTTGATTTGATGTGGCCTTTGTGGGAGGCAATGTTTTCCACCAAGTTTTGTCAAGACTTCTTTTCCCAGGGGAGAAAGGCAGGGGTAGGGGCTGGTATGAGTCAGAGTCAACTTGATGGCAATGAATTTGATTTTGACTTTTATTGATTGATTCATGGATTGATTTTGCTATGAAGAAAATGAAGGGCAATGGGTAGCAGTGGGCACTGGTGCTGTTTGCCCCCATGGGGGAGGCTCCTTCGAGCTCTCATGCCGCCAAGGAATAGTTTAGGGGCAGCCTTAAGTTCCATGTTCCTGATTTCCAGCTTTTTAGAACCACCGTGATGGGTCTGTGTTCCCCAGAAGAGGGTGAGCGAACCCAGGACCTTTTTGTAATGTCCTTACTCAGTGTGACTCTGGGAACAACAGATACACTTTTGGAAAGGGCACCCAAGTGTTGGTCATACCAAGTAAGTAAGCTGGGGTCCTCCTGTGCTGAGGGTACCCCCACCCCACCCCACCCCTGGCCACCTCATCCACCCTACTTCTGCCCCTGGTGCGGGACAGCTCCGTACCATATTTCCAGGCATGGGGGTATCACAGGCAAGATTCTTAGATGGTCCCTGACTCAAACCTTTGCCTGACACGTCTTTCCTCTACCCTCCCCTTCTGCCAGCATCTCCACTGACCACGATCCCATCCTTGGGTTTTAAGTTGAACAAAGGACCACGGAAGTAAGCATTGGAAGGGACACGGGGGGCCGTCTGGTTCATGTTATAGCGAAAGCCTGGTGCCCAGGGTCAGAGCCACTTGCCAAAGGCCATGCTGGTGGTCAGCACAGAGCTGCAGCATGGCTCCAGCCCCTCACTGCCACCCCTGAACTGCACAGCCCGATTCCAGGTGGTCAAGAGGGAAAGTGGTTAACTGACACTGAGCTGGTGCCCACTCATGGAAATCTCTACGTAACAGAAGGACACATGGCCCGGCCATGGCCTTCTCCAGACACCCTGCTACTGCGGCGGGCAATGAGCAGCGCGGCTAACCACAAGGTCAGCCATTCAGCCGCACCAGAGGTCCTCTCTGCGGGAGAAAGATGAGGCTGTCTGCTCCTGTAAAGATTGACAGCCTCAGAAACCCAAAGGGGGCAGCTCGACTCTGTCCTGTCGGGTCGCGAGGACTCAGCATTGACGGGACGGCCGTGAGTGTGGAGATCTGGGGTGCCATTCTCCAGGGTGCCTGGGGACACACTGGTCAGGTATTCAGCTGCACACCAAAAGGTGGGCCGTTTGAAGTCTGCCATCTGCTCAACAGGAGAAACATAGGGGACTCTGCTTCCATCCAAACGACAGCCTATTCCTAAGCAGCAGTAGTTCCACTCTGCCCTAGGGGGGGCTCCGAGTCAGAAGCAACTGGGTGGCAAGGGGGTCAGTTTTTAAGTACCACCCTCCCACTCGCCGGTATGTGCGAGCCCCTTGTTGTAGCGATGTGCCCAGCCATCTCACGGAGGGCTTCCTTGGTTTTCGGTGAGCTAACCTGTTCTTTTCTGGCGATTGATTGGCTTTTCCTGATGAGGTGTGCAAAGCGAGCCAGACGAAGAGGGAATGGTGCAAGCACAACACAGGAAGGGCCCGGATCCCGTTGGGAGTCTTGCCTGGGACAGGAATAGCCAGAGACCTCCCACAGGAAGAAGGGTGGGAGGGGGGATGGTCTACGCTTCGTCGAAAGAGAAAGATGAGAACAAGGAGTGTCAAGGAGAAGCGTCAGCAAAAATGGAGTCTCCCACCTGCTCTTCATCCTCGGTGTGTGTCCAAAGACCTCACATCGGACCAAACCTAACAGACCCTGAGGTCTGTCTCTAGCAGGCAGGCTGATGGCAATATTGGAGGATTGGGGTGGTGGGGGGGACAGTTATGACAGTGCTTCTCTGCTGGCATGCTGACAGGAAAAGGGGGGTCCTGAGGACCTGAGTAGCTCTCCAGCCACCAACCTCCAGCTCCCACCAGCGGCCCTCCACCCCAGACAGCGGAGGGAGACAGCCCACAGCTCTGGGATCATTGTCTCTTTCCAGTGCCGCTGGGACAATTGGTAAAGGGTTTTGTCAAAGGCTTCCCTTGCTGTGTGCATCAGCAGGAAACACCAGACTTACCTTTGGAAAGGGGACCAGCCTAATCGTTCACCCATGTGAGTACTGTCGGACTGGCCGAGGGGAAGTTCGCAGGCAGAGGGGGGACTTCGGCATGACAGCATGGTCATGAGAGCAGCTGAGAGGCGGCCTGCTCCCGGCTAAAGGAATCCTTGGCTGGCAGGAGTGTCCTCGTGTGTCCCCTCCCATGGGCTAATGAACTGATGGCAGCTGTGTTGGGCAAGGGGCTGTGCAGCTCCTTCAGACAACTAAGCCCCAGGTTTTGGAAAAAGAGACTGCACCCTGGGTTAGGGTGCTGAAGCAGAATTTTCTATTTCGCCCCCAAGGGGTCTGCCATGACCGTCAACCTGATGACTGAGACTTTTTCCACCACCGCTTCAGATCCATGAGCTAGTCTGTTCCCTAGCTTCAAAAGCAAAACAAAGCAAACGCGCCATCCAGTCGATTCCGAGTCACGGCACCCCTAACAGACAGAGAGAACTGCCTCTGGGGTCTCCAAGGCTGCAACTCTTTCCAAGAATGGGAAGCCTTGTCTTTCTCCCTGCCCCATAGACTAAAGCAACCCAATTAATGTTCTGGAAAAGGTGGTCGGTCCGTGACAGGTGTCCTCTGGCAGGTGTCCGTTAGGGTAAAGCATTGCTGGGAATCATGATTATGCTAATAACTCATATACACTGCCTTCCTGGGGGCCCTGGTAGTTCAGTGGTAGAATTCTCCTATGCCAGGACCTGGGTTTGATTGCCGGCCCATGTGCCTTATGCACAGCCACATCTGTCAGTGGAGGCTTGTGTGGAACTATGATGATGACCAGGTGTCCTGGAGCTTCCAGACTAATGCAGACCAGGAAGAAAGGCCTGGTTTTCTATTCCAAAACTCAGATAAGGAAAACCCTATGGAGCACAGTGGTCTGATCCACAGCCAGTCAAGGAAATGGCCCAGGACTGGGCAGTGTCTTCTGTTGAGCACGAGTCACCCTCAGTCAGGGGCTGGGGCCAGAGCAGCCACCAACAGCTAACAGTGAAGGTCTGCTAGGGCCAGTGACCATCTACCCTTCAAATGGGTTCTCAGTTGATATGCACATCCATATTTAGGGAGCCCACTGCCATCTGGCCTAGTCCACCTCATAGCAACCCTGTTTATGGTTTCTGGAGCCTTTTAAATCTTTATGTGAGCCGGTGGCCCCATTCCCAAGGACTGGCAGGTGTGCTTAAACCATCAGCCTTTCGTTGAACTGCTGTTCAACGCCTACTCAGAAGTGTCGCCCGGGCTCCTTATCCCAGGGAAAGGCAGGAAGTATGTGCCCATCGTAAAAGTGAAGAGGGAAAGGTTTGGGCAGATAACTTGCCCAAGATCACCCAGCTAGGAAATATCAGATCTGTTTGACTCGAGGGCCATCCTGTTAGCCAGGCCACTACACTGCTCCCACCATCCCCCTACTCGCAGGCCTCCCGTGTAGGCACAGTCCATACCTCAAGGACCCCCTGCTTAGTCTTTGTTGTCTCCATCCTAAGCGTTTCTGACCAGAGTGGCCCTGGAAGCTTTGGTGGCGGGCCTGGCATTGCTAACGAGATCAATAAAATCCCTAAATTGGGTTGGCAAGAGTCAGGCATGGAAGGGGGAGGCGTAGACACCAAGGAGCGCTTTTTACTGGCTATAAAGAGATCTGGAAAAAGAGGAATTTGCCATCAAAA